GGAGGTGTATTCTCGGGCCTGGCCCGACCCCCCCGCCCACACACACACACACACACCGGACAACGGAGGCGGCCCGGACCGATGGCTGCCCGTCGTGACTGATCTCAGGTATGGGCCGAGTCCCCCCGCTCCGAGCTCCCCCCTCTCCCTCCCCCCACGCAGCACTGACGTCTAATCGCCAAGGTATCAAGCTTGGCCATCCTGTATCACGTGCCGGCCCTTTTTAAATCCCATCGTGGACTCGGCACTGCGGGATCGGCCACCAGCAGGCCACCTTGCCGGCCGGGCGCCGCCCTCGTTTTTGGATGCCCAGCGGCAGGAGGGCCATGGTGGGGGGAGATTTTGACGAGGGCGATCTGGCACGGCAGGGTTCCCCTCTCCGACATCCCTCCCCTCGGCACACGCGCGCATATCCCTCTCCTCCTCCCCTCCTCCTATTTTTGTCGGGTCTTTCCTTTTGCCTGCCCCCCCCCCTCCTATCCCTCTGTCTGCCCTCCTCCCTTTGCGCCGGAACCCCAATGTCGGCACTTCGCTGGCTCACGGTCTTTCGGACGGCCCGGTCTCCGACCGGGCTGGGCGCCGACTTTTCTGCCGAACGTGCCACCGCCCTCCGGGCGTACGCCACCGCCCAGCACCACCAGCGCCAGCAACGCTCGCAGCCCCAGCCAAAGACCGCTGCCAGCAAAACCCCCCCGACCACCACCTTCCGGGCCACCTCGGCCGAGGAGGCCCGTGAGGCATCTCGATCGCGCAAGTACACCTCCGGCTATCGGTCAAAGAAGAAGCCCGCAAATGCGAAGCCCAGTGCACCGGCCGCTGGCCTGGCCTCGGGTCTGACCACGCGCAGCCCCTTCTCAACGGGCATCCTCCGTGCCGGGTCCCGGTCGGCCGACCAGTGCCTGGGCTGCGGGGCCACCCTCCAGTCACTGGACTCCAAGGCCCTGGGGTATGTGCCGGTCGAGCGGTACCAGCGGTCTTTGGAGGCGCGTGCCGGGGCCGCCAACGCGAATGGCGGCAGCCGCGCCGACTTTGACGCCGTGCGCCTGGACACCTCGTCCGCGACCTTGCCGCTGGTCGAGCTCGGGCCTCTGCCCAGTCAGCGCCCGGGCAGTGTGTCCACAACATCCAATGGGCCCTTCCAGTTTGACATGGTGGAAAGCCTGCGCAAGACCAGCCGGTCGCTGCCCTTCCTGGCTCCCGGGTCCATGCATGAGATCGACCCGGCGACCCTGTCGCCGGAGGAACTCGCAGGGGCCCTCTCAATGGGCGACCTTCGAGCCTTCGATCGACACATCCGCAAGGGCGACACTTCGCGGCCGGTCTGCCAGCGGTGCTTCTTCCTCCGGCACTATGGTCGTGTGACGCCGGTCTCCCTGAAGGCCGAGGTTCGTCGATGCGGGGCGGGGGGGGGGGGGCCTCCTTTTTCGCACTCTCCCCGTCGCCCCTTTCTTTTCGTCCTACACACACGCCCCCTCTGACTGAGATCCCTGTCCTCTGCCCGATGCAAGAGTAGGATTACCGCCAAATCTTGCAGCAAATTCGCGAACGCCAGGCTTTGTTGGTGCTGGTGGTGGATCTTTTCGACTTCCCGGGAAGCTTGGTTCGGGATTTGCCGGACGTCGTGCGTGTTATCATGGCCGACCATTTCTGCCCTTTGCCCCCCCTGGCCCCACTTCGCTTGTGTGTGCCCCTTTCACCAACATCACCACGTCCGTGGCCCACGACATTTCGCAGGTCGGCTGGGACCAGGTCATCCTGGCAGCCAACAAGTCGGACATCCTGCCTCGCGATGCTTGCCGCAATCGCCTGAAGCGGTGGATCACCAATGAGTCCAAGCGCACCATTGGATGTGCGCGAGTCTGGTCTTTTTCTCTTCTTTCCCCTCTTTCCCGAACACCTCTCCCCGGCCGTGCCTCTCCGATATTCTAACACGAGCCCGGGCGACCATGGCCCAGCCCGCATCATTGACACGCACTTGGTGTCGGCCTCCTCCGGCGAGGGCGTGCAGGAACTCCTGGACAGCATCAACCGTCTGCGCGGCAGCCGCCCGGTCTATACGATTGGCAAGGCCAATGTCGGCAAGTCGCACCTGGTCAACCGCCTGATCGAGTTCTCCCTCATGCAAAGCCAGCAGCCGGATCTGGCACCCGGTGCCGATGGCGAGTCTGGCACCGGCAGCAAGGCCCTTTCGAATAATGCCCGGCGCCGGGCCATCCGCCGGCTGAAATTGACCACCACCAGCACGGTGTCCGGCACGACATTGAACCTGGTGCGCTTCGAGCTGCCTGGCGCGCATGGCGGCCCGGCTGGCGTGCTGATCGACACCCCGGGTCTGCTGCCGGAGACGCACACCCTGGCCGATTACTTGACTCGGCAGGAGGCCGACGCGTTGATTCCCTTGCGCCTTTCCAGCACGGAGTCCAACTCGGCGCGTGTCCCCTCCCCGCTGGCTGGCTCGCGGTATGAGCGCACCCGGCGTACGGAGATCGGCCTCCGGCCGCGCATTTTCGAGCTGGCCCCCGGTCGGAGCCTCTTCCTGGGTGGTCTCGGCCGATTGGACTTTGTCGATTGCACGAGTGGCATCGAACGGATCTTTTGCATTGTGTACACCAGGTGCGCATGGTGGTGCAACGCACGTCCATGCTTGTCTGCGTGACGGGGCTGCGGGGCACTGGTTGGCAGTGTCGCTTCGATTCTCGCTCCTCCCTCCTTTTGCCATTCCCCTCTCCCTCCCCCCCCCCCCCCCCACTGGTATACATGCCCAGCACTGACCCGGAGAGATTGCCTCATTGGGGGGGGAAAAAAGTCCCGATGTCTCGATGGCCACCACCAAGACCATCAATGCGGATGCCTTCTACAATCGCCATGTGGCCACCGGGCTCTTGACGCCACCCTTCACCAAACCCTCGCATGTGAAGGCCGCCCTGCGTGCGGGGTCTGCCCTTGCCGATGACCCCAATCCCAAGGAGGATGGCAGTGACGATGCTGCGATTCTCACTGCCTCGGGGATCGGCGCTGTCCAGGCCGCACTCGATACCCGCGACCCGGGCGAGCTATCCCTCGAGGAGGAGCTGGCCCGGGCCCGTGCGGCACTGGAGCTAAAGCCCAAGAGCCAGAAGCTCCAGGCCAAGGTCCGGAAGGCCGAGCGCGCCCTGAGCGCGGTCCAGGTCAATCGACGCCTGCTGACGAGCGATCTACCGCCGCTGATCAGCTACCCGGTGCAACTGCAACAGCCTCTGCCACCGCACCAGCGCGAACGCCTGCTGGACGAGCTCAATGCGGCGACACGGGCGCCAGCCGCCTTTTCCCCCTCGCACGTGCCGGTGTTCATCCCGCGAGAGCACCTTCGCGGCGCTTCGCCGGAATCCGGCGACCCGGCAGCGCATCCGGCGCCGCTTGACATGGCCTGGCTGGAGTCGGTCCGCCAGGAGGGCGACAATTTGCCCCCGGCTCACGATGGGCAGCTGGTCCACCGGGCCCTTGTTCGGGATGACGGGGAGGACGACGCCTCGGACCAGGGGTATGCCAGTAGCGACTTCGGGTCGGATGCCGACATGGACTTCGAGGACTACCCCAGCGACGAGGAGGACAGCGACCATGCCACGGGCCAAGATAACCACCCTGATGGTGATGATGATGATGACGATGACGATGAGTCCTCCCAGCTGCAGGTCCCCCGCAAGCGCCGGCCCCACTTCACCTCCAACGGTGGGTATGTCCCGGATCGGACCATCGCCGACATCGTTCTGCCCGGGGTGGGCTTTGTGTCGGTGGGCTTCACCTGTGCGGTCCCGCGCGATGCCACCGACATCCATGCCATCCGTGATGCCCTGAACCCGACTGTCTCGCTGGCTGTCCACTACCCGGATCTGAGCCGGGCCCCGGCGCTGCTGGAGTTCGAGCGTGATGGCCAAGACAGCGACAGCGTCCTCCACATGAAGACCCCGTTGGAGCTGGCCGGCGCGGTCCTCCCGACCACATCGGCCTCCTCGCGCGCTCTGCTTGTGGACGACCCGACGGCCCTGACCAATGGCCAGACCTCCCCGTCCTCCTCCGCACCGCCGATCATCGTTCGCGACCCGATGCTGCCATTCGAGATGCGCCGCATGGGCCGGCGCATTGGTGGCCAGCATTCCGAGCACTACGTCAAGCTCCGCCGGCACAAGGTCCACAGTGGTGGCGGCGGCAAGGCGGCCAACCCCCGGCATCAGGACACTCACAAGTGGCGCTGATGCACGTGACCTCCCCATTATATAGATCGCCGCGCGTCCGGCTCCCCTCGGCCTTTTTTTTTTCCCATGCCGCCCTTGCCCGCCATATTCTCCCGCCGCCCCCCCGCTGCTGCGGCCTGGCCCCGAAAAATACGGGCGAGAACGGGGGGGGGGGGGGGGATGAACTCAAATATAGAACAAGATTTTCCGATCGCTTTATCTCTGCATGTGTGTGTTTTTGGTCGGTGCCGCGCATGGTGGCCATTTTTCGGACTCTGGGAACTGGTCGGGAGGGATCTCCTCAATATCCAGTGACCCCTCCAACAGCCCCTCCCTGCCCCTCCTTCCGCCTCCCCTCCCTCCCCGGTCGTGTCTCCTCTTTGTGTCACCCTTCTCCCCTGCCACTTTAGCTGGTCCTGCAGCCAGCCCATAAAATTGTCCGGCCACGATGGCTAATCCGCCCGGCCTTGCCTGGTCACTCCCGACCACGGCTGCCGTCCGGGGGAAGTTGATTCCTGGCACGCTGGTCCCCTGGCCATTACATCTCTCTTTGGATGCACGGAAGGTCCTCCTGGCAGATCCCGAGTACGTGTGTCTTTCCCCGTCCCCGGTTGTTGCGGCCATCACTGTTGCTGCCCGGTCCCTGGGACCTCCCCGTCTGGGGTGGGGGGGGGGGGGGATATATCCTCCGGCTCACACGCGCCCAATCTAACCCCTCGTGTTGATCAAGCTTCTACGAAGTGTGTCTCAGCCTCAGCCTCTTGACCGAGCAGAGCGAGCGCGCCCGGAGGGACGAGCTTCTGTTGGCCGAGCAGGAACGCCTGGCCTTGGCCGATCCCCGGGCATTCATTGGCTCGCTGCTCGAGGGCCGGGCACGACCGACCCCGAGCCTACAACGCATCGCTCCTGTCCCACGCGTCGACTGGTCCCGCATCACCGACCCAGCTCTGCGCCCCACCAAAGCCCAACTGACGGCCATGGATGCCCTTGGCCAGGAAGTGCACGAGGCCCCGCATAGTCCAACGCAACTGGCCAATTCGCTCTTTGCACCATCGTGCGTCCTCCTGTGGCATCTCGGCTTGCTTGTCCCCTGCCTCCGGAGGGGGGTCCCCTCGCTGCTAACACCCACGCCCCCTCCCCTCTCGGCCCCCGGCCTCCCTTGCCCGGCACAATCGATCAGCCTCATCCAAGACTTGGACACGGTCGAAACCATGACACGCTATGCGCAGCGCGATGCACCGGTCGCCGGGGCTGACCTGGCCGATCGGCATGTGGCCCTGCTTCAGAGCCTGGCTCCTCCACCCGAGCATACTTGGATCTCGCGGGAGAGCGGCCGCGATGCGCATCTTTTCCCGCCCGTCGCAACGGCATCGGTCCCCCTACCGGCCCTCATCCCGCCTGGCCCCCTGCCAGCCGCCCATTTCGCCCCGCTGGCCGTCTCAAGCCCACCCCCAGTGACCATCCCCCTCGAGCCGGCCGCGATGCAGCCACAGCGGGCCCCCTCGGCCGAGCCTGAGAAACCCGGCCCCACCGGTTCCCCCGCACCCGGTGTCCCGAGCCCGTCTTTCGCCCCCCACCCTGGATGGGCTGCTTCGCCGTTGGGGGATTTGTCGCAACATGCGGCTGTGGCGGACTTCCAACGCGAGGCGTCCCTTGTGGTCCAGCAGTCGGCCGGATCGGTGGCCGAATTGCTGCCGAAGCCTCACCAGTCCCTGCAAAATGCCACCAGCTCGGCCATGCTCATGGCCCTGGCCAAGCTGACGCCCGAAAATTACCCCGGCATCCAACACATCGTCAATGCCTACCAGATGATCAACCAACGTCCGCCATTGCCGATCGCCGAGCTCTTCGAGTATATCGACGCCTCGGCGGCCGTTGTGTGCAGCCTTCCCGGCAGCAAGGTCATCAACAAGTACATTTCGCTGTTTTTCCAGCGCAAAGAGCGAAAGAAGGTCAACAACTCGCCCTTCTTGCGGAATGATTCCTACAAGGCTGCCTGGTCGGATGAGGAGCAGGTGTGCATGTGTTTCTCCCCTCGCTGGGACCTCCCCCCCCCCCTTTCCCCGCCCACACTCCCCTTCCACCCCTTCGGAATGCCTGCCCGACCGCGCCCCTTCGCATGCTGACACTGTCCCCTGTGCAGATGATCCTCGATCGCCTGCTCACCATCTTCCCGGAAGAGGAAATCCAGGCCACGCGCTTCAAGAAGATTTCCCTTTCGACCGGGTGCTTCCGCAATCCGATGCAGATCGCCAGCCGATGCCAAAAGTACTTCATCTCGCTGGCTCGGCGTGGGCTTCCGGTCCCTGGACGAATGAACTTCCGCTTCGATGTGCGTGTCGCTGCTTGGCCCGGCCCTCTTTCTCGCCCTGTGGACCGGGGATTTTCGCCTGCCGCTTGAGCGTCATTTGCCCCTCCTCCTGCTCTAACATGCCGGTTTCTCTCGGTCTCTCTTGCCTGTTCTTCCTTTCATCAACCGTCAGAAATATCTGCCAAAGAAGAACACCCGTGCCCGGAATATCCTGGAAAAGCAGCGGCGCCAAAGTCGCTCCCAATCGAAAGGCAGCTCGAGGTACGGCATACACTTGTCGCTCCTCTCCCTCTCTCTCTCTCTCCCATTCGGGTTTCCGGAGCCTACACCTTGAGTATTGACATTTTGCGCACACAGCGAGTCATCTTGGTCCTCGGAAGATGACGAGTCCGACGCTGAGGACCTCTTTTCGGAGGAGCCTCCCAAGATGCCGGCTGACTCGGCCCCCCCGACTCCCACCCGGCGAACCCCAGCCCGGCAACCAAAGGGACCCGCTGCCCGAGCAAAGTCTCCGCCCCCGGCCCCGGTCGAAACCACCAAACGCTCGGTCAGCCGAGCCTTCACAACAATTTCCACTTCAGTGTGTCCGGCATTTGGGGGATTGCTTCTTTGGCTTTTTCTCGCGGACCAAAGCCCTCTCTTGACTTTGACTGACCACTTCCGATAGTCATCCTCAACACGATCAGGTCGCACCGCTGAGCTGCCGCTGCATTTGGGCTTTCGGGTGCGTCCCTTCCTCGGCCGCCTTTCTTTTCCTTGCTCCTTACCCCCCCCCCCCCACACACACACACGCACGTCTCCTCTTCCTTCTTTCTGACTCCTCCCTCCCTGTGCATCTGGGTATTCCTCCTCTCGGTGGTAGTGCGACTCGTGTAACATGGAACCCATTGCTGGCATACGGTGGGCGTGCCAGACGTGCCCCCAAGATCTGTCTGTCGATTTGTGTGACAAGTGCTTCCGTGCGGGATTTGAAAATGGTTCGTTCCCTCGTGTTCCATTTCTCCCTCTCCCCCTCTCCTTTTCTATCCCCTGCGCAGGTGGGAAGATGGCGTGCCTCCTGCCCTCTCGACCGGGCTTCTCCATGTGCCCTCGGTTCCTGTCCCCCCTTCTCACTCCTGGCGCCCACTTGTTGAAAGAATACCATGACTTTTCCCATGCCTTTGAGGGGATACGGGAGCCAGAGCTGGACACTGTATACGAGTTGGACTCGTCCTCCCTGTCTTCGGATCGTCCCCCTGCGGCCGCTCCAGCAACGGAACCGGCAAAGCGAGGTCGCAGGTCTGGAAGTGCCGGCGGTAGCGGTGACGATGGCGGTGCCCGGGTGAGTGGCAAACGCGCTGCCCCATCGAACAGCACCGGGCGCGGGGCTGGCCCGCGCAAACGCCACCAGCCTTCGAGCAAGCCCACGCCAACATCCCCAAGCCGACCGCCATCAGCGTCGTCCTCCTCGTCTTCCATCAATTATCTCGATCCGGTGCGTGCATGCGGTGGGTGTGCATTCGTGCTGGCCAAGGAAGGAGGGCATTGTGGGGGGGGGGGGGAGGTAGGACCATCGGCCATCAGGCAACTAACTTGTCCTCATTCACAGGCGTACAATCCGTCGTAGAATCACGCCGATCGCAAACACCCGGCAGCCTTTGCACGCATAATGGCTTTCTTTTGTGAATATATTTTTCTTTTTCTATCCTGCTCTCTGCGCACAGGCACAGGGCCAGGCAACATGGACAAGAGGAGGAGGAGGAGGACAAGGCAGGGGCGGGGCTGAAGCGTGGGCGTGTGCGAAAGCGAGAGAGAGAGAGAGAGAGAGAGAGAGAGGTAGGAGAGAAGGCAGGAGGCAAAAGGAAAGGTCGCTCATCGAAGAGACACCCATGCTACGCCTCATCGTCAGTCCAGTCACTACTCTCATCCCCGGCGGGCTCCTCTGCCGGCAGAACGATCGACGCCTCGAAAGGCTGCATCATGATGCTTTCTCCATCGTTTTGGTTGCAGCCATTCGCGCAGCCAACAACTGGCGACTGTTCGAGCAACGAGGGGGATATCGGGTGTCAGCTGGGTCGGCGCAGGGAGGAGCCAGAAAATGAGAGCGAAAAGCAGGGCCCAAGAGGGAGGGAGGCGCACCTTGGCCAGCCGATTGCCGCACAAGGGGCACATTTCCTCACTTGGCGTGGAGGGAATGTCATCATCTGAAAGGGCCTCCTTGGCGGAAGTCGAGGTGGCTTCTTCACACGCGGAAGCCGTCGAGTCCGACTCGAGCATCGGGTCGACCGTTGTTGGCGCCGGTCCCGGGGCTGGCCCGGACCCAACGACACAGGACTTGGTGATGAAGGAGGGGACCTGCCTGGAGGAGAGCGTTGGCGTCACCGAGGCGCTTGCCCGGTCGCGCTCAGCTGGAGTGATGGGGTCGCCGTCCAGAACCTGCAGCCCTGGCATGTTGACCACAATGAAGTTCCTTCGGATATGCGGCCGGCCAGAAACCGGGAGAGGGGGAGGACAGACGGAGGCGCGAGCAGGCAAGGGAGCCGAACCAATCGCGTGAGTGACATCCCCAATGGGAGGGGGGGGGGGGGGGGGGGGCTCGGGGGGGGCGGACAAGTTGACAGGCCAAGCAGACCAAGTGCGCACCGGTAGTGTGTGTACTCGACCACCGAGCCACCATTGATCCAGTTTGGGCAGGCGGGATTGCCGAGGAGACTGAGCTCGGTCAGCTCCGGGCAGGCCAGCAGCAAAGACTGCACCAGGGATGCCAGGTTGGTGAACTGATTGTGATTCAGCCAGAGCACTCGCAAGGACTGAGTCACGGGGCTGTCCGGCGACAGGCCAATGTGCCCGGTCAACTGGTTATGATCGACCACCAGCACCTTGAGCGCGCAATCCAGCTGACTGATGGAAGAGAGATCCTATGTGGGCGTTTGGTGGACAAGACAGGGAGCGACGGTGAGAGGCTATGGGAGGAGGGGATCGGCAGTGGAGGGCGGAAGCAGGAGAGCAGCACATGCGTGGGCCCCTACCTCGAGCTTGTTGTGCGAAAGATCCAACCAGTTGACCGACGAGGGAACCACCGCCCCGCAAACCTCGGCGAACTCCAGCGGATCGATGATGGTGAGATCTCGGTAGGCGAGGGTCACATCGACCATGGAATGGGCGAACTTCGGCGTCGAGAACCACGAAGAAAACATGGCAGCGAGAGCGGCGCAAAGCGGGACAGACGGGCAGGCACGAGGGAGGGAAGGAGGAGGGGAGGGGCGATCGCACGCCAGTGCCGGCCTCAGGGCGAAGTGGAGAGCGAAAGGAGAGGGGGCGGGGATCCGGCAGTGCCGGGCCGGATGAGGGAGCGGGAGCGAGCGAGCGAGCGAGCGAGCGAGGGGGGGAGGGAGCGATAGCCCCGGGGCTAGGGCGGGCCGAAGGCAGGGATCCTCCTCTTGGCGATAGGCCCGAAGCGGGGAGGGCAACGAAACTGCGGTGGCGGTTGTCGCCAGAATGGCATGACGCGTTGAGAGGATTTCGCTCGGGGCAGAGGGGCGGGCGGAGGAACAGCGGCATGGGCCCATGCCTCCCCCCCCCCCCCCCCCCCGGCCGGTGAGTTGCCCACGCAGCGGGGCGGCCCCAGCCGTGGGGTGCCCTGGTGACCGCTCCTACAACTGGGGCCCCATTGTTTACTTTTCCGGGCGCCCGTCCAACAACAGACCACCGGAGATGCGCCTCAGACGTGCGGCAAAACCCAGGCGATGGTGTGGGGTCGCCCCCCGCCACCCACCCCCCAGCACACCTACGCGCCCCCGGACGACACACCCTGGCGGATCCTCGGCAGCATGAGCGTGCCCTGTTGCGCCCGGGCCCCACTTCCCGGGAGACCACATTCAAGGCGCCTTTTTAAATGCGACACACGAATTAGGTAAAAGGCTCTATTGTAGGTGGAATGTACACGGGGCGGGTTCCCAGCACACATCGGGGAGAGATTGGCCGCTTCAGAGAGGCGAGGCATGGTCCCCCCGCGCCCCTGGCCCACATGCACCAGGGTGCGCAAGCCTTCCGACGTATGTAGACCGGCATAGGGCGGCCCTATGCACCACAGATCATGGGGGTAATGAAATACAACAGAACGGCAGTCCCAGCAATGGCCCCGAGTGAGAGGCAGGCACGCAGCATGCCATATTTACAGATGACATGAAAAACCGCGAGGGATAGGACGAGACGGAGAGGGATGAACATTCAGTTCTGCTCATCTTCGCGGCGGACTTCCGGACATTGTGCTTCCCCTCCCAAGTTCGAATGCGTGTTTCTCCCCTTCCAGGACCACCCTTTCGGGGAGTGACCCATGAGCCCGTGTCGCATGCATATGTATGCGTGCGTGTGCGTGCCCATGTGTGCGTGCCCATGCGTTGAACACCGCCCATATGTACACCGCCAACGTGTGCACCAGGAGAGGGACCGACAGTGCAAGCGGGCAGGATATCCAGGAGGGATGGAAAGAATCGGAAGAGGACGTTTCGGGAGGGAAGGGGGGATGGGGGAGAGAGGAGAGAGAGAGAAAGAGAGAGGGGGGGGGAGTGCGAGCGATCTTGTCGGGGAGACGAAGCTCCCTGTGCTTTGCACAATCGTGAGCAACTCTACAAACACTGGCAGCTGAAAGGGCAGCAGCCCCCCTCCCCCCCTTATTCCCTCCTCCCGGCATGCGCCCTGGGGAAGAATGGACCGGGCTCAGACGAATCAAGGGCAGAGGGAGGGGAAGAGGGGAGGAAGTACTTCGGCTGGTTGCTGGAGGCGGGAGCGGGAGAGTGGGGGGAATGAGGGAGGATGAGACGATATTATGTCCGGACGAAATGACACTCTCAATGTGAAACACTCCTGCGTGAGTAAACGTCACTGAGTCGAGCGGAAAGCCAGACATCGCAACAGTCGAAGGGGGAAGGATCGCCCGATTCCACGAGGAAGAAGGGGCACCTGGGTGCGGAGATGTCGAATTGGAGTTGGTGAAGCTGGAGGAGGAGGAGGAGGAGGAGGAGGAGGAGGAGGAGCAAAAGAAACCACGACCAGAGCGGGGGAAAGGGAGAGGGAAGGAGGGAGAGAGGGATAAAATGAGAGAGGCGAGGGGTGACAAGAAGCGGAGGGGCGGGCGAAGAGAAGGAGGGGGGAGAGGGGAGGGGGGAGATCAACACAAGGACAGGAAAGGGAGATGGGGAGGAAGAGGACGGGGGGGGGGGGGGGAGAAATCGGACAGAAGGATCTTCCCCGAAAGGTCTCCCCCCCCCCCCATCGGGGAAAGCGCATCGCGGCCTCAAGAGGACGCGAGTTGCTTGTTGACTGACACCCGGGCAAAGGCACCGGCCACCGCAGTAGCCACCGGCTGCAGGGCCTCCCGCGGGTTAAGATGCAACCCCTCCAGGGATGAGGATGTGTCAAGGCCAGCCAGGTCGGCTTCCGACAGGGCTGCAGCGGTCCCGGTCCGGAAGACATCCAGGCGCAGGTCACGCGTCAGGAAGGCCACACACTCGGCCGGCCCTTCGAAGCCGAGGACCGTGGACACCAGACCCAGCGCGAGGTTGGGCCGATGCGAACGGCAAAGTGCACGAAGGGCCACCAGACGCTGGCGTCGGACAAAGCTGTCCATCAAAAAGCGCCCCTTATTCGGGACGCGCTGGTACAGCCGGAACAGGCCGGCATGGTCATGCGACAGGACGGCCTTCTGCACGGCCAGCGCGTGAGTGATGGGCAGCGACGTCTCGCGCAATGCCAGGCTCAGACCGAGCGGGGCATCGGCCGACGGGCTGGCATCACCGGCGCCGGCATCTGCGGGCCCGATATCCCCGTCACCGAGAATGCCACTGGCCCCAGCTGCCAACAGCAGGGTCTGATCAAAAGTGGCATTGGCGAAGACAAAATACAGAATCCGATAGGCGAGGAACTCCTCCCGCGCACCGGGGATCCCCTCCAGGTACAGGTCTCGAAGCTGGGTCTGACATTGGTTGAAGGCCTCCAAATCTTCGGACTCCAGGGCAATGCGCGCATGAGCCTCGTATACGGCCACCGTGAATTCGTTGCGAATGCGCTGGACAATCAAGTCCTGGCGCATGCTCTGGAACTGGTCGCAAATGTACGCGTAGTCCGGCTTCTCCTGCCAGCGTTGCCGCAGAAAATCGAAAGTCTTTCGGAGGATGTGCAGGGGGCGGACATTGCTGGGATTGGGGGCCTGCAGATGGGCAAGAGAAAAGGGCAGGAGAGAGGGGAAATGTCGGTCAATTGGACAAACCGGCCTGGCTTTGTAGTAAAGAGGGGGCGCGGAGAGAAGGCAGAGGGAATACGCACGCTGGTCAGGCGGAAGAAGCTCTTTTCAATTTGGGTGCAGGTGCCAACAACCGGGACTTGGGGCACCGAGGAGGTGAACAGGTCACTTGAGGCCGAGGAGGACGAGCGTGGACCATCGTCCTGGCGCTCGAAGCGCCGCGCGCGCGCCTGGCGGGCAGATGAATCGTTCTGAAGGAGCAGCAGCAGCAGCAGCGATTGACAAGGATGCATGCATGAGTGCCAGCCGGCCAGGGAGCAAGGGGGGAAGACGCAGAAACAGGCGCGAGCCCACGTACGGTGGAAATATCCTTGATAACTGGCTGCAGCGTGACAGGCTGGGACGGCGGGTCAGGGGAAAGGCCTCGAGAGGAGCCGCCCCGCGAGGAGCTGCCCCGCGAGGAAGTGCCACCCCGGGCACCGGCAGCCGGGGACGACGAAGGAACCGAGGGATACACGGTGGAGCTGGACTTCCGCGTGTTGGCATACGGGTCGTGGGCCGACGCACGAACCGCACTCGGCGCAGCGTACCCCGCGCGCCCGCTGAAGAGCGAACTACCCCGCGAGGAGGAGGAGGAGGAGGAGGATGTGCGGGACTGAGTCGGACCACCGCCACTGCCGGAGGAGAGGCTCACCGATGTGACCGCCGAAGAGGAGGCCGGAGTGCTGCCAGTGCGAGGAACGGTGGCCGTAGCGGCGACCGCCGCCACCGAGGGAGGCGATGAACCGGCCCCGGGGGCCTGGCGCTTGGCCTTGGTGGCAGCCTTGCCGGCGGCCGGGGTGGCGGCCTTCTTGGCCTTCCCCTGGGCAGTGCCATGCGATGAAGTGGTGGTGACCGGGGCGGAGGGGGAAAAGGGAACATAAGGGGCGACGCCGGAGCTGGCCGGAGTGGCAGAGGAATAGGAAGAGGAAGAGGCGGCAGAAGAGGACGGAGCACCGCGAGATGACGCCGGGCTCGCTGGCGGCGGAGGCTGGTAAAGGCGCTCACTTTGGCTGTTGTAGGCAGCCGCGGCCGCGGCAGACGCGCTGGGATCGACCATGCCGCGTCCGGGGACACCGTAGTACGGCCTGCATGGCAGACAGTTTCGAAAGCAGAGGTTTGATGAGTAAGGGCGAGGGG